AATGTCTATCTCATTGCAGGTCACACTAATACTTCTTAGTATGTTTGATTACCAATTTGTTATTTAATGATATGAGATCAATATTTATTTAGCTATTCAGTTATGTTAGATGAGCAATAACTCTTTTCAATTTTCATTTATTGTATGCCATGCTAGTGGTTGAGCCAGTAAAGGTGAGTCTCACCCATCCTTCAGCCTAATATGGTAGCCTTTTGGTACCAACTTTGTTGTTCTGTTTCTGTATTGGTATAGCCGGTATAACCGCCCTTCGGCGTAACACATCAGCTTCTGTGTCTGTATAGCCGGTAGAACCACCCTTCGGCATAACACACCAGCTTCTGTGTCTGTATAGCCGGTAGAACCGCCCTTCGGCGAAACACACCAGCTTCTGTGTCTGTATATATACATGTAGCCGGTACAACAGCCCTTCGGCGTAACACACCAGCTTCTGTATCTGTATATAGCTGGTATAACAGCCATTCGGCGTAACACACCAGCTTCTGTATCTGTATAGCCGGTATAACCCCCCTTCGGCGTAACACACCAGCTACTGTATCTGTATAGCCGGTATAACAGCCCTTCGGCGTAACACACCAGCTTCTGTATCAGTATAGCCGGTATAACCGCCCTTCGGCGTAACACACAGCTTCTGTGTCTGTATAGCCGGTATAACAGCCCTTCGGCGTAACACACCAGCTTCGCAGGCATGCGGCGCGGCGGCAGCTAGCTATATCACACCGAGCGACACACAAAATTAACATCTAAGAAAATGACCAGATCACTGGGGATGATCAAAAGATGCGCACATTTTATGGATCAGACATTGTTAAAAATTGTAATAGAATGCCTTGTAATCACATTGATTATTGTAGCCCAGTTTGGTCATGCACAACTAAAACTAACATAAACCTTTTTACAACGCATGCAGAACAAGGCAACTCGTCTGTTTCAGTCGAAGCCACAGTGGAAACCTGTGCACACGAGATTGTTAATAAACACCATGACAACATTTAAAAGGATAACACTCACTAACGAACCTATTTGTATCAGTAGGCAACTGCGTTCTGTCAACAACTTGCATAGCTAGCTATAGAACCCGTTTTGCTGCTAAACAGTCTTTTCTGTTAGACAAACCTAGAACTAACGCACGGAAGAAGTGTTTCATGTACAGGGCTGTTAGTGTGTGGAATAACCTTCCAATTGTTATGCAGTCCACACAATCCCTGAGAATGTTTAAGGACGGTTTGCACAAATACCTCCATCAGTAGGTCACAAGCACTGTTCGACAGGATTGTCAGTTTTTTTTAAATTATGTATATTGTAAATATGTTATTGACTGATTTAGATGTGTTTTGTGATTTGTCCAGTTGTCAACTATGTTTGTATAATGTATTGTCTGTATGTAGGAATATCAGAAAGACTAGCGGCGGACCCTAGGGTCCACCGCTAATGGTTATTCTAATAAAGTTTCAAAGTTTCAAAGCGACTTGTTACACTTAATCTTTGCCCTTTTGATTGCAGGAACTGTTTAAAGCTTTCTAGTGATGATACCCCAACTGTGCTTGGTGGCAACTAGTTCCAGTCTACGATAGTTCCGGGGAAATACAAGTTTTTGAATACCTCAATTCTTGGTTGATAACTCTGATATTTGAAGGCTTGACGGGGTTAGGCAGCTGGGAGAGGGTTAAGTGGATATTTGTAGGAAATGAATCTAATGCCTTTACTGTTCAATGATAAGTACTACAACTGAAGCTTGTATATGAAGTAAGTAACATGTTAAAACTAAATGTAGTAGAAATGTTTTTCTTAATAAGGCCTCACCAATTTAATTTCTTGGTTAGCGGATTTTTCTAGAAAAATAATGGAGCCGGCAGGCGAAAAAAAACAGGCCTAGGCATCCTATTATGGCCCAAAATGGTACGATAGGCGCCATGAAGTCAACACACCAAGCTGGTTGAAAATTCAAACAATGAATTTTGAACTTTTAATGATACTTACTGAATAACTGTAACAACTAGGAAGAAAAGGACTGTCTTCAATTGTTCAGGGCAAGATATGAGCATTTTGCAGTTGATTCTGAATTTTTTTTTGTTGCAAGTCCAAAAAAAATGAAGCGGGCGAATCTGTTAACCAAAAAATTAAATTGGTGTGGCCTAAGTAACATGATTGTACCATTTATTGCGCCTACAATTTTATTGTAATATGATGCATTTATTGTTGGTAAGTACTGAGTACTGAAGCTTGCATCTTAATAAGTAACTTAAAATTCAACTTAAAATCTAGAACATGTTCAATGAAAGAAGTGTTTAGAAGACAGGTTCTTTTTAAATAAGCAACATAATTGTATAACATATTGCTCAAACAATTTTTGTATGATGGCAGATTGTGCAGTACATTTGCAGGTCCAGAACTGAGTCAAATGAAATTGAATGAACATTTTGTATGTATGCATGAGGATGGTGGTTCCAACTCTAGGAATATCATCTGAAGAAGCGATATACAAGTTATACATGATTGTATGTTGATGTGTATAATTTTCAGTAGTCATGGTTTAGACACTAGTTAGATTTTTTTTATTAGAAGAATTGTAACAGTTCTTTTTACAAATTTTGAGACAGCATGTGCACATATCTTAAACCATTTTCTGTCAATTGTGAAGCTTGGTTCTATGGTCGAAGAACAAAACACTGATTGTGATTCACGTGCATAATTGTCAGCAGACATAGTTTCAACAGATTAAGAGAGATCTTTAAAATAATTGTTTTTATTACAATTCTTGAGACAGCTTAAGACAGCATGTTCACATATCTCACATGAAAATATACTATATATATTAGTATGCCAATTGTGAAGCTTGCATGGTTTTATTCAATAAAGAAAAACACTGATGAACGGCGTAATACCTGCACAGTCATTACTAGTGATTAGCAACAAGTGTCAAAAATACTGATTATGATAACTTCAAGAGGCTTTATCTAGTTTATCTACTTGGTTCTTCAAGTACAATTTGGAAGAACTTGACGCAACACAAAAGTTAGGCCAAGTCACCATATCGCAAAACAAATAATAATCGAGTGGTGTATGGCAAAAGTTTGAATAAGATCATGTGGACATATTTTTAAGGCATCTTCTTGCCAAATTTCAAGTCATTTGCTAATATAGGGTGTATAAGTCAAAATATATTATATTCCAAGTGACGTCACAATGGACGGACATCTCGCGAGACTACGTCTACGCGAGAGGTCAGGCCATGTGACAAAACCCTTTCACTTCACCAGTTTTTGCGAAGCCGCGGACGCGTGAAGGTGGCTGGATTATTAGTTCCGTCTGCGGGTTTCTTTTCTACGTTTCTCGGCCGCCATCAAGGTTACCAGAAATCATGAGCCAAGTTCCGGGAAAGACCGTGTCTACGGTACCAACTTTAGGAGGTACTGTTTGGCGGTAGGGGCTTGGGAAAATAGGTTATTTAGGTGGAGTAAGGAAAGTTTTAGCACTGTGGCACTCGGGCTTCCCAAACCGGAACATGTGCGCGCTTGTTTCATATTTCGAACATGTGCGCGCTTGTTTCATAGTTCGAACATGTGCGCGCTTGTTTCTGTGACGAGGGCCCCTTTGGTTTTACCTTTATCTGGTTGTAACTTGGTTTGTTTCTGTTTATGCAGCGACTACAGCGGCGTAGTCGCTGCATAAACAGAAGTAGTCCCTGGCACATCACAAAAGTGATGTGCCAGGGAGTTGATCACCCCCCATCAATCACTATTAACAACTATGAGCTGGAGGTTGTGCCCAAGTTTACCTACCTAGGCTCCACCGTGACCAACAACCTCTCCCTGGAAGCTGAACTAAATGGCAGAATAGGGCGAGCAGCAACCACCTTCGCCAGGCTACAGAAGAGAGTCTGGGGTAATCAGAAGCTCACAATTCACACAAAGATTGCTGCATATAGAGCATGTGTCCTCAGTGTTCTGCTTTATGGCAGCGAAACATGGTCCCTGTATTCCAGCCAGGAAAAGAAGCTTAACACATCTCACATGCGTAGTTTACGTAGAATTCTAAATATTAAACGGAATGACTATGTAACCAATGTAGACGTCCTCACACGTGCTAGTATCCCTAGTTTGTACACACTGCTGAAACAGCGCCTACTCCGTTGGCTTGGACATGTGTGCCGCATGCCAGATGGGAGAATCCCAAAGGGCTTGTTGTATAGTAATAATAATAATGGTTTATTCGTCATTCATCACTTGTACAGAAAGGCAGGTTCCATATAATTGGGACCTGAATTGTTCTGACAATTACACAATTGATTATTGATAAAACGTTAGCACACATTAAAATCATTATACGTCAATAATTATTAATATAAAATACGTTAAAAGGTCGTTCATTTGAAATATCAGATGTACACACAAATAACAGGCAGGGTAAACGATTCTATGAACAGTAATATATATATGTATAATGCGTACTCTGAAGTAAATGGCAACAAACAGGGATACACAGTACGAATCTGCCAGAGTCAGCTAGGAATTCAGCATCCGAATCATGTAAGGGATCACACTAGATCTATATCTTTCAGTTCTACAGAACACAGAGTCAAGTTTGTGGGATGAGCGGGTCGTCCTGCCGCCAACCGAGGTTCTAGACGGTGGCAGTAGATGACGGTGCAGCTTAGAGTGTTCAAGGGACTTGGCAAAGGTCAAAGTAAGTGAACTGGCCAATGGGACAGGAGCACGCGGTTGTCCGCACCTGCGTTTTAAGGATGTAGTCAAACGGGACATGAAAGACATGGACATAGACATTAACACATGGGAGACTCTTACAACAAGCAGAACACTTTGGAGACAGGTAGTTAAGAAGGTATTACAACGGGGGGAAGAAAAACAGAGACTCCAATCAGAACACAGACGCTTTAAGCGTAAAGCAAAAAAAATAAGTACATGATGTAGAAGATGATTCTTCTTCATGGTCCTACGAGACCGATGAAATGCCTACTACAGCGGCGGGTGCGGCAACGGTGACGACCGCTCAGGTGGCCGTGCCGGGTGGGTCCAACCCCAAGGGTGCCAAGACAAGCACCGTGACGGCGACTACAGGGGGCGGAAAAGGGAAACACACCATGCCGAAAGCTTCGGGGCCAGTGACCGCTACCAGCTCGGCCACGACTACTGCGGTCCCAGGGACCAGCTCAGCGTCCGCCTCGGAGGTCCCCGCTCAGGGCGCGGAAACGCCGCAGGTACGAGTATTTGCCTCCGTTTTGATTTTGTTTGTTTGATCTGATTTTCCCAGACTCACGGGTGTACATTTTCGGTCGTATTCGGTGCTGAGGTGTTGCAGGAGAGTGAATGTTACAGGAGAGTCGAGACGAGTTGGTTAGCCAGGCAGGAATAAGACTAAGATCAGGAAAGAAGTGGGCAGCAGCAGAAGCAGTCGCCAGCGCAACAAGTAGACTTAAGCACAGAGACATCGTGGGAGTAGTAGCTCAAGGCAGGAGAGGGTTTGGAGCAGGAAGGGAAGGAACCCAGAGATGGGGTACTGCTAGCCCAAGGGAGAGGAGGGAACTGATCCAGAAGGAAGTTAGACAGCAGGAGGAAGAGGTTCGGAGATCAAGAGCAGTAAGCCAGGGGGTTCAAGGAGCTTGGACAAGATGGGAGGGAGTACGAGAAAGAAAGGTCATGTGGAATGAACTCATGTATAGTGAACCCTTGAAGATAAGATTCCTGCTGAAGTCTGTTTATGATCTTCTGCCAACAGCTGCAAACCTGAAGAGGTGGAGGAAGAAAGATGAAGACAAGTGTGAGCTCTGTGGCAAGACAGGGAACCTTAGCCACGTCCTAACAAGCTGTCCGGTTGCACTAGGCAAGGGGCGGTACACCTGGCGCCACAACCAAGTCCTGAAAGTGATAGCCAGTGCAGTAGAAGAACAGATAACGGAGAATAAGGTCAAGGGAAAGCAGAGGAAGGGATTGCAGTTCATCAGCTTTGTAAAGGAGGGATGGAGAGGAAAGAGTAAAGAGAAGAAGGAAAGAGAGCAGATAGGAATCATAGCATAAGCAAATGACTGGTCCTTACATGCTGATCTTGGCAAACAACTGGCCTTCCCGGCAGATATCATCGACACGAACCTAAGACCAGACTTGATCCTGTTTTCTAGGAAAACGACCCAGGTAGTGCTGCTAGAATTGACTGTTCCCTTGGAGGACAGGATGGAAGAAGCGAACGAGCGGAAACGAATGAAGTATCAGGAACTGGTGAGCAGATGTAGAGAGAAAGGTTGGAAGACCTGGTACTTCCCAGTGGAAGTAGGATGCAGGGGTTTCATAGGACAGACCTTGTGGAAGGCACTGGGACAGTTAGGAGTAACAGGAAAGAAGAGGAGAGAAGTAACTAAGAGAGTCACCAAGACCACCGTCGATGCCTCACTCTGGGTATGGACACTGAGGACTACCACCCAATAACCACTCGCCGGGCAGCGAGTGGCCGTCGCTGTCGCCCCGCTGGCTAGAGACGTACTGCAACAAGGGGCGAAACGTCAAGGAAAGCCAGTTTGCAGCTGAAGACGGCGAGTGGAGAGCAGAGTCCGACCCTCTGTATGATGTAAGATGCTCCGTCGGTTTTACGTCGGGTGGTTGGAATTTGTGATTTTGTTCTTGGCAGCGAGGAGGTGCGTTTTGCTAGATTGTTGGACGGTCTAGGGATTTCGCCGGACAGGTTGTTAGACAACCAGGAAGGACGAGAGAAACTGTTGAACACATTTTTGTTTTGTTTTGGAGATTGTCGGACAATCTGGGAGCGAGAAACTGTAGGGCAGTTTACGATACCACGTGGGTGGGTTAGAGTCTGTGGGGCAGTCTCTACTTTTCGTAAAAGACCGTGGGAAGGTCTGTGTTTTGTTTGGTATTTTCTGTGTGAACTTGTATAATCATAGAAATTGTACACTAAGTCAGTCTGAACGGTTTACATGATTTGGCGAAGGTACGTGATCGTGGAACTCTTGTTGGATATGAAGCCTAAAAACTACCCACATCCAGACGGATAAGGTTCGGGGTGACGCGCAGTATGAACAATGACAGTAGAACTACGGCAGAACCCACAAGGTTCCCCATGGTTGTCTTGTGAGCGAGCAGACAGATCTACATCCTGATCGCCTTACGCAGAATGAGCAAACTTTGCCTTCCACGGTTGGAGACATTTGGGCAGTATTCAGTTACTTAGGTTTGATTAAAAACCACCAATTCAATTGATTATTAACCAGGTACAAATCCAAAGACGGGCAAAGGCCACATTGTAGTGACCAATAGCCTGGTAGCAAGTAAAGTCACTATACAAACCCACGTGGTATTAAATATTGGATCAATCAGGATCCGTTCACCTGATTGATAATTCGAGCGCGATGATGTCATTGCTTGCTGCCCCTTTTCCCTGACATTTACTACCTTAATCTGATTGGAGTTGAAATAACACCGCGCTGCTAACGAGTCACGGCTTACAGCAGACTTTCGAGGTACAGAAGCACCAGACCGGCGGTGGGTCCAGCCTATCAAGAGGTGCAGCTACCCTCAAGTCGGCGTGCAGCGATGGAAAAACGGGTAGGATTTGTTACACTTATTAAGCTTTACAGACTACCATTGCCATTGCGACCTTGGCGCCCTCTCCGCGCTCCGGCCAAATTCAGGTTGCAGAGAGAGCGCCGTGAGAACGGCGTCTTAGTGGAATGAGAGTATAAGCCACAGAAATTGGCCTGGGCGCTCCGACCAATCTCAGGTCGCAGAGAGAGCGTCGTGAGAGCGCCGTCTTAGTGGAATGAGGACCTTGCACCCTTGATTTTATAGTTTGAGAATGGACCAAAAAAAAAGACTTAAAACATAAACGCACAGTCTCAACAAAATTCGTTATAAAATTCCGCAAAATACAGAAAACGTACAAAATTCGTTATTTATACCCGTAATTCATTAAGTGATCTGTGAAGTCTTTGGTAGCCCTTTAGTGTCACTGGCATTTAAGTCGCGCAGAGAGCGTAGAAAGCTGAAAGGTCGCCGAAGAGATTCGTGTTTTGTGGAGTTCGGCGCTCTCTACTAAAATATCATTACACGGAACAGTCGTACGATCGTCGCGTGATCGCAAACTGAGGGCATTCTTGGGATAGTCCTGCATGTCCAGCAAGATAAAGTAATGTTCCAAAAAAGTACCTTCCAAGTAGAGGTTTAGGTTTCGGTTATATTTGACATTTAGTCTTTATATCGGGGGTTGGGTTTTGCACTGGAATATTTCGAGGGTGAAAAAAATTCCAGTTCTATAAAAAAACTGCAAACACTACAAAAATATCACCAAACCCTAACCTCTGCTTGGAGACTAACGAAAAAAGGTTGTCTTAGATCAGCCTTGTTGTTGGTAGGTTCTGTTATAGCCTACTAGAAGATCCTACGACATAACTGTTACGAACGCCTGCGACGCATTCACAACGCATGTTTATTATTAACAATTATCTGGTTGTGTGAAATGCTAAAATGATCATCAACTAACATACGTTGGTAAAGGTTAAACATCCAGGTATAAAAAAAGCCAAAAATAGTAACTCAAGGAACTGGATATGGTTTTGGAAACGGTCAGATGTTTCAGATATCATTCACGACCATTCGTCAGTGACACTGGATAATTGCCAGAAAAGCAGGTTTATAAGCACAAAATATTAATTGATGCAAATAAGGGAAGACGAGTTTTAAGGTAAGGTAGTTGATGATACCTGAAACATCTGACCTTTTTGAAAATCATATCCAGATAATTAGGTAACTGTTTTTATCAGCTGGGACTTCATCTTTGATTGAATTTAAGACAGGCAAATTAAACTAGCCTCTACCAGGCTTCGGGAGAGCAGACAAACTCCCTGCCATGTCTCCAATATTTGGCTGATTTCTACTCTTTCCAGCCGCCTCCCGAAGCCTGGTAGAGGCTACAATTAAACATCAATGCTCTTATCATATTGTTATTTATTGTCATTGATTCTGTGACAGATACCCACATACAATTAATTAGCCACACCGTACAAACCTCACAATTACTTCTACACAATGATATCAAACATGGCGTCTCCGTTCGTATCGCGTTAAACGTTATTTAGAACCAGAATAAACCAAGCATTATCAGCTTAGATACAGCCCTAACAATGACCTGACGGTGTCAAAAGTTCACAAAGTACACTTATAACATTTTACACAAGCCAAAGTCAACGCTGTTATCGTACTGGAATGTACTTTTACAAGCCGACAAATATAATCAACTACACATTATCAAGTTAAATAAAGAACGTTACTCACAATTACATTTATTCATTGGCGTCGAACATGATAACACTAACGACACAACCATTCTTATCGACGCATGTACTTAAGGGATAAAAGGGATAATGACCTGACCCATGTAATAGGTGTATATTGTATGATAAGGCTGGGTCATTCCTTACAACAACAGAACAGATCGCCAAATGAGCGGAACAAACGAGGCACTTTATGACCATGACTTTTAACATCATATAACCGAGGAACAGGCACGGACGTTATTATCATATATGATGTCTAGAGGTTTGGTGTTTTCCCCCTTACTTTCTCCTTGTGAAGCTGCTGCCCATTCAGACAAGTCAAGGTAATACGTAACCTTGTTTTGGTCCTCCGTCAGGGACAACTGGTTGTTACTAGGCGTTCCACACGCCTATAGCTAAAGGAGATTCTAGAAATCCTTCTTTAAGAAAACATATGTACATTGTCGGGGGGGGGGGTCGTATTTTAAACCCTACATTTATATCATTGATTATATTCAAACTAAATAAAGGTATAGGCTATACAAGTACAATTTTGACTGTCAACCGTAACATGATACGATATCAGCCAGATTGCTTGCTTTCAGCTATATATTGTATGAATCCCTAAAAGTGTATGCGCAGTGTACACATACGTGGTCACCGGTTTGTCTCGTTGTTGAAGCCTCAAACCTTTTTTCAGGATTTGGTGGCAATTGCAGACTTAACCTTTTATGTCTGTCATTCGCCATCAGGCCCCCTCTCTGCGACCTGATATTAGGCCATACATATCTTTCCCTAAGATACTATCAAAACCTTTTCTGTGTATATGATTAGATTACTACGGATCACCACAAATAAAGCACTGACGTTTCTCTTGTCTAATCTAACTCTACAAAAAATGAACTGCAATGAATCTCCTTGAACTTTTGACACCATTGCCCCTATTGTTCAGGCTGTATCTAAGTCATTTGGTCATTGCTTTTGGCTTGACAAGGAGGTAAATTTCAACACGATAAGAAAATTGTGTTTATCTGATTTTGACTCCTAAGCGAGGTTTTAATCTCCTGATTAACTTTTGCCGAAATTTCGGCTTTGTTTGGACTGTTTTTTAGCCTTCACAAGATCATAAACTTTAATAAGAACTTTTCAGATTCCATCTGCTCAGAGAGGTCATTATCTATTGTTGAACGTTGCACAAAATGGCGCCAATGTCTGGGCTGTACCTGATTTTATTGTTTTCGGGATTAAATAAATGACAGTAAGAAGACATAAATTCAGATTCGATAAGAACGCGGGTTTATTAACAATTACCTTGTTGTGTGAAATGTTAAAATTATCATCAACTAAGTTGCACAGGTAAAGGTTACAGATACAGATATCAGAAACGCCCAATAAAGTAAATCAAGCAACTGGATACGATTTTGGAAACGGTCATATGTTTTAGATATCATCCACGACAATTCGTTTGTGATACTGGAGAATTGCCAGAAAAGCAGGTTTATAAGCACAAAATATTAATTGATGAAAATAAGAGAAGACAAGTTTAGATAAGGTTTAGGTATGGTAGTAGATGAAACCCGAAACGTCTGGCCGTTTTAAAAATCATATCCAGATGCTTAGGTAAGTGTTTTTATCAGCTAAGATTTCATCTTCGATTGAATCTATGGGTCAATTCTCAAAATGTTCTTATCATGTTGTGATTTATTGTGACAGATACCCACATACAATTAATTAGCCACACCGTAAAAACCTCACAAT